GCTCAGAGGGGCCTGGGGAGAAAACAGGAACCCAGGTTTCCAGCCTGGTCCTCCACCAGCGGGCCGGCTTCCGGCCCCTCTGAGACCATCAAAGCCGCTTCCGCTTTCCTGGCCACTTCCTCTGCCTTGGGCTAAGGTTTCCAGCCCCCTCCTCCGGCTTGGTGCTGGGCAGGGCCAGGGCAAGGCGGTCGGGGCCTCGGCCCTGAGGATCTGGAGCCTGGGCTGCCCGTGCGACCCAGTTCCCACTCACACACGTCGGCTTTGGCCGGGGCCCAGACCGAGGTCCCCACCAGGCCTGGCCCAACTGGACAGATGATTTGTCTCGGCTGGGACGGGAAACCCATGGGGCCACTGGTGTCTGGATCCTGCCCACTTGACAAAGGGAGGACGTCCTGTCCCCAGAGACTTTCCTCCCTGCCCTTTCCACTTCCTCTGAGGTCCCCGAGGAGGTGAGCACCCAGACGCCAGGTCTCAATGCCCTCCCTCACGGCCTCAAGGATACAGGGGTCCCCAGGGGCACTGCCAGGGCAGCAGGAACGACAAGAGGACTTCCTTTGGCACAGGAAGTGGCCCCAACTCTGGGCCCAGCCCCCTGCCCAGCCCCACATCCTGAGGAAGGTGGTGGGGTCACACCAGCTCAGTCATGGGACCCAAGTCACACTGGCCTGAAGGACAGGCCCGGGCTCACCCTCCTGCTGGCCGCTGTGGCCATGCCTGGGGCAGGGGAGTGAGTCACAATGACTGGGCCCCTTTTCTGGAACTGAGACCCTTGGGGATCTCTGCCTATCTGGCCTCACTGATGCTCACAGGGAGGGCTGAGCCCGTGTGGCAGACAGTCCAACTGAAGTCCAGATAAGGGGATGCTCTTGCCTGAAGCAATTTCATGTCAGAGCTGGGATGTGAGCCTGGGTCTGTCCACTTCCAGGGCCTCAACAGTGCTGCACCCGCCCACTCCTGTCCCTGTATGTAGAGTGTGGGGCAGGTGGGGGGTTGGGCCGAGGCTCAAGATCTCACAGGATGTAAGACTGAGGCACCCCAGGCCCCAGGGACCTGCTAGGTGCGGAAATGTGTTGGGGGCAGGGGCAGGTGCAAAGTGTGGTATGAGAACATAAGGGGGAGCACCCCGAGTTAACCCAGGATGGAGTTGGCCACTAGGGGTGCAGGCAAGGGTCTGTATACATCATCCAATAACATGGTGTGGGACTGGGCTAGGGGAGGGCTGGGGCAGAGGCTCTGTGCACCCCTCAGCTCAAGTTCCAGAGCCAAGCAAGGGGAGGTCTCCCAGGCTGAGTGTCTCCCTCCTTGCTTCTCCCAGGACAAGCTCGGATGCCCACCCTGAGCCTCTGTTCTCTAATCCCTAAAATGGGGTTAACCAATCCCATCCCTTCTCAACACTCTGGGGAGCCTGGAGGGTGCAGGAAGCAAAGCTGCCATGTGTTAGGTGTGGAGGCCGATGCAGGCCCTGCTCTGCCAGCCAAGCTCTTGGGCCTGGACTGTGTGGTGTGGTGAGTGAGGGGGCAGAGGGAGGGGTCTGTGCTGTGTGAGCTGAGCTCCGTGCGGACCAGCTCCTAGGCTGCTCTTGCTCTGGCCCAGTGCCAGGCTCTGGCCGTGCCTTGGGGGTGTTCTTGGGCTCTGCCCCCCACCCAGCAGCTTCACACAGGGTCCATTGAGGCCGGGACATTCCTCCCCGCCTGTGTCACTGGGGAAGGGGGGCTGGCCCCGCCCCCACAGATCCGGAAGGCCCGGCTGCCCCAGGAGAAGGCGCTGGATGCTTCCCAGCACATCTGGAGGTCACGACCCTATTTCTGCTGCCAGGGGGTGCGACAGATGTTTCCTCCCAGGCCTGGCCCTGGACTGGGGGCGGTGTGCAAAGGCTAGGGAGGAGGCCACCCAGGGAGAAGGGGAGCCCCAGAACAGGGGGAGCCCTGCGGTCAGCCAGCCAACTGCAGGGGCAGTCGCAAGTGCCACCGAGAGAAGCCAGGGGCGGCCGCATGCGCTCGTTCGCATACTCGCACACTGGCCCGGCGGGGCGGCCAAGCAGAGGTCAGAGTGGGGACCTGGGAGCCAGAGGCAAGGGACCAGACACGCCGACTCGGGACCGGAGCCCGAAGGGAGGCTGGGAAGCTACGGGCAGCAAAGGCGGCGAGGGCCCCGTCCCAC